ATGTCTATCTACGTAGCACACAGAGAGATGAAATCTGCTCCGATTTTTTCTATCCTACTAGATCGTTAAAATCAATCTCGCTGGATTGATCGTATATCTTTGTATATCATGCGTAACATTGTACGAAAAATCGCTGTATCTAATAAAAAAAAGATCTCGAAGAAAATGTATCGTCAAAATCTATTAAATATTACACGATCATTATATAACATACAGCGATTTTATACCGTGTCCGGAATAACAAAAATCGCAGGGACTTAAAATTACGAAACACAGACTTATATACAATTGTTAAACTCTTAGGTTCGCTGCGAATAATTAATATACGATCGTTGAGCAAAAATCATATTTAGTATTATAATAACTTTCGATATAATCACTGTCCAAGTTGTATCGAAGACTTTTCCTATTTTGTATTCAATGCAATTTTATATTCGCGCGTCTCTCTTTTCAAACTTCTCGCTTTACGAATACAAGCATCAAAAGGCCAACATTTATAAGGTATATATTTGGCCAACATTTATAAAGTAATTTCGAATTTTACAATATAAACTAGTGCTCTTGAAATAAATATAATTTTTGTTTCGCTAATGTAGAATCAATAAAACTTTTTTCGAAACAACTTTGAAATAATTCGCCGATCAAAATCGCCTTCATCGATTTTTATTCGATACATAAAATTATATATTCCACCTTCATTTGAATACGCGCGATGTTCCTCGATACCAAAAACTTAAATTTAATTTGAAAATTACTTTTTGGCCTAATTACAAGAGAGGCGCTATTAATTAATGTCGAGAATCGATACAATTTATACAAGTAACCAACGATTCGGCGAACAATTTACTAAGATTGCTCCTATCACACGAATCGCCGAGCGGTGAACGTTCCTCGCGCGATTACAACAAATTATATCGGGTGGAACACATTGCGATATACACGGCCATAATCTCTCCAGCTTCCACGAACTGCAGATCATGGATCCTCGTTTAATTACAATTGCAACAAGAACCGTGTGTATATATATAGTATGGAACGTTCAACGACACGGCGACACAACAACGATAACATCGTTCGCTATTTAGTAAAGGTAATGAGCATAGCGCTGATATTTATTCCTCGCTGGGTACAGACGCTCTCCTTCACGAGTCAAGGCAAGCATAGAAATGAAAACGTCATTGATTAGGTCTCTCTCACACAAGTTCCATCTTTACGCGTGGCCGCGTCATTACAATGGCTCGATAAGGGTACAGCATCATGCACTTGGATTCCTTACTAAAGCATAGACGCAATAAAACCACAGCCAAGTCGCTAGAGACAATTGCGCGAGATATCTTCGTATTTTTATCTCGGTTTAACAATTACTTCTCAAATAAAAGATTAACGGTGCGAAATTAATTTGCAACTTAAAAATCTAAAACCTTACAATTAATTTAATATATACATACATCCTTCAAAAAGTAATATCTTCTTTAAACAATCGTAACATAATAATCGAAAAACGCGCATAATTTATTAAAACTGCCTAACTCGCTCTGGATTTGCTTAAAAATTAAGTAGGATTGGAATAGAAACAGAAAGAAAGAGAGAGAGAGAGAGAGAGAAAGAGAGAGAGAGAGAGAGAGAAAGAGTTACGTATGAAAGACAAACGTACACTCGAAGTTTGTGAAAACAAAGTATATATTTCGGATATAGGAAATAATATTGTATATAACAAAATGTTTTGTACAGAAAACTTAAACAACGCCTTAGTCACGCTAAAGCACAAAGAGCATCAGCCATATATGGAACATGATATCAATATCGGCGGACGCGAAGCTACTGTGTGCTCGATAACATCGTACACGGGCAACGGTAGTAGAGTACTCTTAACAACAAAGTATCAAGCGAAAAAACGAACAATAGCAGCAGAGCTAAGAAAAAACAGAAGATAGGCGAAATCGTTAAGTTAATCGGTCCAGCTAACCAGCATTCAAACTGAAAGTTTCTATGAACGGCATTTTCTTTTGTGCGGCAACGAGCTGTGTCTCTCCCGGGTGAGGTGAGGTGTTTATATACCGCACAAAACGCCGTGTACATAACGCGTACCTCACGTATCTCGTCACCAGATCACACACAAGACTCTTGTATCACAACACTGCATTCTTGCTTGCTCAATTGCATATAGAGCAAGCTCTTTAAGCGGTTTTTCTTTGTTCTTTTCCTTTCAGTTTCCTTCTTTTTTTTTTTTTTTAAGAGAACCACCCGAGAGCCAAGCGGTGTCTCTTCTTTCACATCGAGTCATGCGCACGACTTTGAGAAAGTGGAAAGAAAAAAGGACACGCGCGCGAAGATAGAGGAGTAAAGAGACACGAGCGAGGAACCGTGTCTCCAGTCGTTTTCACGGAGATCTCTCTCCGCGTTTCAACGTGGTCGTGTGTGTGTGTAACACGTGTCAGAATATAAACACCCTTTCGATTCTCTGTGTACACAAAAGGTGCTTAGTGCGTTAAGTCGTGGTGGTCTGATTTAGATGCAGCCATCTTATCTGACAAAACATTTCAATGTTAGACAAATAGCAAAATAACAAAAGAAAAATGTAAAAAGAAAAAAATTACGATGTGTATCTATATCAATAGCAACTTATATTACCTATGTATGAAAAAATTAAAATTAAAATTAAAGATTTTCATTGAAACGTAGGAAAAAACGCTGCCTGATGCAAAGTGTTTTGAAACGCGGAAATACAATATAGTAAGGACTTTGTCGCGACAAAAGAAGCATTTTGCGCCGTGTAAAAAGAAAAATCTACTCTACCAAATTTCTGAAAAATATCAAGATACGAGATAGATCGAATACGCTGATCAACAGAAATCATATTCGATCCAAAGACACATCACACAGGCAAATAGAATAAAGTATAATATCTTTCGTTCAAAACATGGAAATAAACATCGCAAATAAACATCGATTGTGAAATTAGTGCTCTCCTATGTAAACTAGACGTATTACAGCAATCGTATTACAATATTACAATATTACGATAAAAAAGATGCAAATCATTTCAACTATATATCTTAGCATAGAATTTAGTTAGAAGCCAAAAAATGCACACGCGGTCTGGCAGCGCTAATTCCCTTCTTTTTTATTTTCTTCCAAGACAATTTTCAATTCCGATGAGAAAACAACACACTTAATTTATCATCGATTACCACTGCCAGGCAACGAGATAAAATCTATTAATGAATAGCTAGTCCTCGCAACGTGTATGTAAAATTACTTACCGCGGCTTTGATTGTATCCGGCTTGCCAGCCCGCGTAATACGCCGCCTTTTGTTTCCCGTGTTCCTCCGCAATTTTTACGCTAAGCGGCTCCGATCCACCCTCCGGTATTGTACCATGAAGTTGCGCAATAGCCTCCTGAGCTTCTTCCCTTTTATCGAATCTGCAAATAAGGAAACGGTAAATAATTTCTAGTGCATTTTACAAGAGTTGTAGAAATGTAACATTTATCATTTATACAAAAAAAAATAATTTAATTGAAATATATAATATATAAAAATTTCTTAAAAATACTAGAGAAACGTTAATCTCTCCATTACTTATTTTTAAGTCGTTCGCTGGCTTCTTCCAACCCGATAAAATCGAAATGAAAGACATCCAAGTAACATTCTTAATTGTTGGCATAAACTACAACGACTCTATTTCACGCGAATAATATGTTTCCCACAATTCTAGAGTAGAGTTCTCTAGTTTATTCATACGTTTTATGTAGGCCAAACTAAAGGGAGCATATCAGAATTATGTAATTGAAACCAGGAGATGTACAAAAATACTTTGGCAGGAAATTTTCGCAAAATAAATGTGCACATACATGCATCGCGTTGTGCAACGATATAGTATGATTGTCGCGAACAGCTGTTTTGAACTTGTTCCAATTTTCAATACCGCATATTATTTATACGCATACTTGACAAATGTACATTATGTAAAAAATTTCATAAAAATTTATTAGATTCATGAAGCCCCTTTTTTTTGTCTCTACGTATGAATATTTATAAATATTTACAAATACAAATTGCTGCGTAAATATAAATCTTTAATATTTAAAAGATGATTCAATGACGATTTTATAATTAGTGATAAAAACTAATCATCTTTATTCACCTTACAAACGCTACCCCTCTCGGTAAACCGGTCAGTTTATCCTTCAATATATTTTTCTGCACAATGTTGCCGTATTTGCTGAAAATTTCGTCGATCTGACTTTCAGTTATATTTCTGCAACGAGAAACGATGTCTTTTAGTATAATAAATTTTCCTCATTGTTGAGCTTTATTTCCTAGAAAATGAATCGTACTTCACCTTGGTAAATTCGTAACGTAAAGATTTGTTTCCTTAATTTCTTCCCCAGAAGGCCGAGCGAACGACACTTTCAAACGTTTATTTTGCACTTGAAGTCCGTTTAACGTGCTTATCGCCGTCGCGGCATCCTCAGCCTTTGCATAGTTGACAAAACCAAAGCCGTAACTGTAACCAGTCTATATAAATGTTTAAATTAGTATTACACGTACAACACATTCGTATCCCACAAGTTATACAGAAACTATACAATTTACCTTGTAATCCTTCATGACTCGACAGGACTCGACCGGACCAATCGTCACAAAAAGACTGTACAGCTCCTTCTCATTCATGTTTTGCGGCAGGTAATTGATGATCAGATTCGTTCGCGGCTCCTCATTGCCTTTGGTTTGTGGTTGTTGTTGTTGCTGTTGAGCTTGAGACTGCGGCTGCTGCTGCTGCTGTTGTTCTCGTTGGTCGGTCATTTTGTGGCACTGTTGCTGTTGCAGGTCACCTCCCGACGACGATGCCCGATTCGACGAAACTATTTGATTTCGCTGCAGTTGACGTTGCTGCTGCTGTTGCTGCTGCTGTTGCGCGATCACCAGTAATCGGGCTTGCGGTTGCTGTTGTATACCCCAACTGGTACCGTCCAGTGAAACAACCGTCGACGGGGTCATCGGCAAATACAAAAAATATAAACAAATTCATTACTATGTCTTCCCGGTACAACGACGCTGCCACGCTCGACGTAGGCCAGCCTGCGCTTTCGAAAGCTCTCATCTTTCTCTCTCTCTCTCTCTCTTTCTCTCTAAGCAGTCTCAAAATAAATAGAAAATAAATGTGCAATATATATGTATTGATGCCAGACCTGTGTGTGAGAAACAAACAAACAAAGGCAAGTAAGGATAAAACAGAATCATATAGCGGGCAAAAATCAAAGATACAAAGTAGGCGTGATAAGTAACAAATTGTTTGCAAAATTTTCTGGGCGCTTTTCAAAATAAAATGCTCCAAACTCGACGCTTTCAAGTGCGTCATCCCGCGTCGATACTTTACCCTACTTTGTACCGATCTAAGCTCGAACAACGTCTTTCGCACATACTCGATAATCTAATTCTCGGTATCTTAAGAGATTTCATTTTTTTCATCTCAGAATCCGAAGACTCTCTAATATACATGCGCAACCGACGCGTTTCGAGAAATCGCAAATGTATATATTACATATTATATATTATATATACATGATCGAGCGGTCGCGTGCAATGACACCGTGCGATATCGAATTTCATTGAAGCGCTGCGGGAATTTACACGTCGACGCGAGGAACAAACTTACGCGCTCCATTCACATCAAGTCACGAAACGCGCGAGCCGAAAGCGAGGAAGGGGAAAAAAATTTTCCGCGTACTCGCGTGTTTACGAAACGCTGACATTCGGTCGTCGTGTTTAAACGACACCGCAGGACGTCGTCAACAAAAGCGACGAGAGACAACAACGAAAACAGAACGAGAAACGGGAACGCGGGAGCAAAAGGGCGGGAAAAGAGAGAAAGAGAGAGATACAGAGAAAGAGAGGAGGGGGGGAAGAGATGGAATTTTCAAAGTTCCCCAGGAACGTAACCTTTTGGCCTTATTTCGAAGGTGCCCGGGGAAGAGTGGCCCGGCGGATTCGTGAATCGACCAAGCTATCGAAGCGTGGAGGGAGAGGAGCGGGAGAGGCAGGTGGGAGGAGGAAGCGAGAAAGAGCGAGAGAGACGGAGGAAGCGGAACGCCGAGAGCGACGAAGAGAGGGAAAGGCTGCGTCGCGCGCGCGCGCGCAAGCGTACGCACTTATGCGTGTACGTACCGGAGAGCCACGGAGAAGACTACTAGTGGAATTAGAATCGACGGCGAGTGACGTCGTTCGCTCTCGCTCTCCTCTCCTCGCGTCGCTCCGATGCACACCGACGAGGACGGGTAATTATGTAAGCGCGCGTACTGTCAGCATCGCGCGCGCTCCTTCCGTCCGACACCCGCGATAATCGTCGCCGCCGCCGCCGCCGCGCTCCGCCGGATCGCGGCGGAAATAAGGTCGCGCGCCGCCCGGAGTAAGGGACGCGCGCCCTAGGGAAGCTCGAGCGACGCTAGAGGGCTCCTCGGCGGAGCGCGGAGAGAAACGACCGGGTGTTACTACCTGCGGCAGTTGACGCGATGCGTTGCGAATGCGGGGGATGACGCGCGCAGCCAACGACGCGACGGGATGCGCGCGCGCGCGCGCGGATGCGTGCGTCTGGGTACGTGTGTGTGAGCGGGAAAACGCGACACGACCGACACGCCGCACGCGAGCGTACTGACTGAGCCCCAGCCCTGACCTGCCTCGCGCGACACCCTCTCGCGGCACGCTGCCCCACTATTCGATGACGACGACGACGACGAGGAAGACGGCCGCGAGGATGATCTGCGCCGCGTGACGTATCGCGGCGCGCGCGCGGGTCCCGCCTAAAGTCTAGCGTGTTTACGATGGGCCACGATCGCGACGGAGCGTCGACTTTTTCTCCCTCTCTTTTTTCACCTCTTCATCTTTCGAATGGGAAGAGCATCTTTAAGGCTAATACATTTGTCGTACGACAAATTTTTCAAGCGCATTGACTGGCTGCGGGATAGAAAATTTCTAAGGATTCAAGAAATTATCTCGCGTCAATTTATGTGCTTAAAAAATTTGTCGCACGACAAATGTAATATTTGGCTGAGTCGCTATCGCGATCCCGGAATTTTCGCCACGGGCGATCCTTAGCCATCTCCGTACAATGATCTATTTTTAGATTATCCCTCTCTTTGATCGTTTTCGCGCGTGAAATGTACGTATTTGTGTCTCTCGCTTTTTTACCGTTGTCGATTTTTAGGAGAAACAGCCGCGCGTCTCCCGAGGGATATAATCGGTGTCTTGAAAATTCTGGCGCCAATCGCACGGCAATTTATTATACCGGGATACAATCTGCGAATGGAGTCGACCTTGTGTAAGGCGTCTCTAGAACGGATCGTTTTCCACGCGCGTTGAACTTTAAGACGTTACGTTACGTTACGTGAACGCGACAAAATACGCCCTACTTTTGAGTGTCGCAAAACACGCGATTGCTGCAGCGTATTCCTTTTCCCGTAGAATCGCGCACGTGTTTCCCCCGTGCAAGTTCTCGGGCGAAAAAGATCGATCGTCGCATACGAAATTAAAGGTCTCGTAACACGGAAACGCATTGCACGGATAATCCCCGACTTAAGGGACGTAAAAGGCCGCAGCTTAATCGCTCGCATGTGTCTCTCGGAGCGTTTCATAAATCCCAGCCAAAAATACGGTCTCCGCATCCTTGTCATACACGTCGAAAAATAGACGATTGTCAGAAATAAGCGCGCTATTTCGCTAGACGTAATAATCGTGAAATAGTTCGGCCGAGCATCGCGTCAAATTATTTCATCTCGCGTCGAGTTCATAAATTCCACCAGTTTCACCAGCTATTAATCCCGTACGGAAATAAATGTATTGCTTTTCTAGGAAGATATCTCTAAGAGAGATGGATTGCGTAACCCGACAATTATTTTTGGCGTAATATCGGGAATAGAAGCTTGACGTTTCTCAAATTTCTGTGTCGCCTAAAAACTTGATCTCGGAGATAATTCTAGATATTTTTACATTCTACCCCTTCTCCTCATTCAAATATTAGATTTATTCCGATTTTACGCTAAAAAAATGAACCAAGATGCATCTCGAGACGAGTTTCTTTTAGAAAGAATCGATAACCATGTTTATTTATCTGATTCCTTATCAAAATTCTATTTAAAAAAAGAATGATCTCGCTACTAAATTTCACTAAACACCGCAAAAAGGAGCCGACTGATGGTGTACCTCAAAGCAGCCTCCCAGGAAGGGACGGCGAACATCGCAGGTTCACTTCCGTTGCGTCCGGTGGGCTTTCTCAGTCACGAGGACAACGAAAATGCACGGCTCTCTGTCGCGAAAGGCCGACGCGCGAGTCATTTCATTCCTCGCGTCTCGCGTATTTTGTTTTCCCAAGGTCGTTTTGCACGCTCGCATTTTAACGACGACCTGCCATCACCTGTCTCGTCTCTACCGTCAACGAATAAAAGTTTTCGTTCATCGAGTAAAAGTGACATCGGCTAAAATTGCACGATCTACTCGGCGTCACTTTGCGTATCTTGAACATGAGACAGCAGAGCTGTTTTACATGAATATCTATGTGCATAAGAATTTATGCAAATTACGAAGAAATGTGGGAAGTTAGATTAATCGATAATACGTTACGGATTTAAATATCAATAATATTCGCGATATCTGTGTAACGTTTCCTATACATGTAGCGTGTAATTTTTCATGCTCAATCGTTATGCGATAAAATGTGACATGGGCGTGACGTTACTCGCGGAATTATATCTTGCCAAGTTCGCGAGAAACGGATCTGCCCGGAATCTGTACGGGCGCATTACAGGACACTGCATTGCGCTACAATGCACCGCTGCTGTCATGTTCGCCCCCCCCCCCTCTCCTGCCCCCACCAAAATTTAGCGGGAAAACGCCCTGCCTCGCGAAGGGATCGAATAAACGTGATACTTTTCAACGCCGACAATGATTCCTCGTCGCTAATTAATATTTTTTTATTAGATAAGCGGCGATATTTCTTCCTTACCTCCTTTTAACGGCTTAAAGACGGAACAGCTGATAATAACGCTCCGTCAGAAATGTCACGCCGTGAAATTACGCGCGTTCGGAGCATGCTCGCACGTGTATCGTATCTAAATATCCGTGCATCGTGACAATTGGTTAAAAAGTGTGGATATGTTCAATTATCCTAAGCTAAATTAATTTTATAACCTATGATATCAATGCATATTTTTTAATCTTATGTCAAATTTCTCACAAATGTTAAACTCTACCTCTCAGCTGATTACAAATGTCAAACGTCAACTTGGAGACGCGCAAGAAATTTCCATAATTTTACACTGTCAATGCATTTCCGACGAGTGTTTTTATATCGAATTTCTTTCGCGAAGGAGATCGCGCACTTGCTAACGATACGGCGCATAATCGGAGACTATAAATGACGATCCCGAGGCTCGCGTAACACAATAATGCGCGGTTCCCGTCGGTGTAAAACGTTCGCGAAAAGATGCATTCTAACCTTACATTTTCTAACTTTACGTTTTCGCGCGGGACCCGCTTCGACTTGAAGGAGCGAGAGAAATAAAATCCGGAAACTGGACGAAACTCGCATTTAGCGAGTTATTTCGTTTATTATCGCTAGATGTAAGTGGATTTATGAGGATAAACAAGGATCACGCTCCATATAATTCCCCCTTTCCTCTTTCGGCTGGAAAGTGTCAATTGCCAACGCGTGCGAATTTTTATGCGAGCGTCGACATGTGTCGCGAATAAACTGCACATTTGATGGCTACATAAAATCCACTTGGAAAGAGCAAACACGTATAAATTCAAATATGATAACTCAACCGCGAATCAATTTTCTTTTCGCGAAGAATAGGATCGCGTTACCTCATGATACAGCAAATTCTTGTCGCGATTCTCTCTCTTTCTCTTTAGGCTCGTAAAGGAAGATGCTTTCATTTTTTTTTAAATTAAATATTTCGTCATAAAATGCTAAAATAAGTTATTAATATAATGTTGCGGGGCAAAGAAAAAAAATATATATATATTATTATAATTATTATAATTATGATTAATATATATTTAATTATATATATAATTAAATATGTATTAATCATATTAAATATATATCAATCAATTATATATATAACTAAATATATATATATATATATATATATATATATATAAATATAGCTATGATTTTATATATATATATATATATATATATATATATATATATATATATATAAGAATGTTATGTAGAAATCACACGAGGAAATGAGGAGCGACTCGTAGCTCTTACCGGCCTTGGAAGTTCAGCTGCTCCGCGTTCCGATTCCGGGCACATCGATGCGTTTCGTACCGTCTCGACGCATACTTGGTATCGATCGAGTCAGGCTTTCCGGTCGCTTCACGGGGTCGCCTCTCGATCGCCGTCACGACAAATACGCGGGTACACAGGCCGCGAAAGCGATGTACGAACAATTATATATATGTACGCGACAAGTTATAATCGGTTGCCCGATCTGTTCGAAACTTGTCACCCGATATATTCACGGAAGAAAGATGGCTAACGCAAAAAATGCTCTGCCGAAGGTTGTACAACTGTAGAGAAAAAGTTGCGATGCAAGGGGACGATTGTAACGGATATGCAAATTAGATGTCGCTTTCGCGGGCTTATAAGCTCTTAGGAACCGTTCACCAGGAACCAGGTACTGAAAAGGCGAAAGGTACACCTTTGCACTCGCGTCCCGCAGCGAGGCGAATTCGATCAACGAATGGCTCGATTATCCACTTGCTTTGGACAACTTTAGATTACACTGCATACTGCAACAAGACGCCATGATGTTCTGAAGGTTGGGACAATTCAAAGACGTATCTCCGAGGGGCCCTGAATCGCTTTTGAATACAAATATCAGATGGTCCTTTTTCAATAGAAAATTTTATTATATGCCAATAAATAAATTAAGATTATAGATATGTGGTAGCAGGGCTATATCGAGGCCAAATATTGGAGGTGCTTTATTTTCGTTTTTTAAAGCAACGATTTCTCTTTAAAAACCGCTATATTTTCTAAAGAGAATATATAATTAAATATATATATTTATATATCTCAATAAAACATAAACTGGGAATACTTTGCGCGACGATTTCGTCGGAAAGGATAGACGAATAAACGAGATATAATCCTAGAGATCTAATCATTAATCAAAAAGTTGTGCATTTTTATTTTGTGCAAGACAAAAGACTTTACATTCATATCTATCCGCTCAAACGAATAACTCTGGGTCTGTTCTTTTTAGCTGCACTGTTCCACTAGTCCTTTTAATCTAACTAACTACACTGTTGCACTAGTGCAGTTAGTTAGAGTGAAAGGACTAGTAGTATGTTTGTCTCTTTCTAAAAGTCTCGTTCTAAAATCATAACCGTAAGGTTGTAAGAAAACTGACCAATTATAGTCGATTATTCTTTTATCAGAAAGAATATTCGACCATGATTTGTCAGTTTTTTTACGATCTTATGGTTACGACAAACTTTTTGTTTTTGTAGTGCAAAGACCTTAACTTATTGCACTAGTGCAGCTGAAAAGAACAGACTTTCTGTCACACGATATAATAATACGATTGCAAAGTATCCTCATTTTACAGTATAACAAATTTAAAACGCATTTTTTGAGTATTATAAAAAAAAATTGTCCAAGAAATTACTTCTTGTATGCATATCAAAGAGAAAAAATCTTTCAAAGTCTCAATAAATGCTTCTCCAACGTTTTCACACTAATTTTGAGATTCTTTGTTATCGTTTTGATTTTCCTGATTAATATCTTAACGCTGAATACAAATTGTTTGCCCTGCCGTATCTCGCATATATTACTGGGCGAGATATATAAATGTATAAATAGATATAAAAAAGTAGAAATAGAATCTTCCATGATATACATATGCAAAGTAAGCGATGGAATGAATATGGAAGATATGTTTAGCATATCTATAAATGTTACTTGTATAAAAACAATCTTGCCTCGTGTACACGGCGAGTCTCTCGCGATTAAAAACGTAAATAAATTATATTCGTTATATAGATGTTGTTGCACAAGGCACGCAATCCCGATTGCGTTCAATAGGAATTAAATAGAGATCGACGTTGAGTATTTTTCGAGGAGGAGGCCCTTCTTCTGGCCCCTTTATCTCAGTACAGAGAATCCTTTGGCCTTTGTAAAACGAAACGGTCTGCAGTTTATATAACGCGTATTACATTCTGGCGAGGCTCGCACTGGCGTGCTGGCGTCGTTCTCCTTGTCCCAGGCGTGTCTCGGCGATTCGATGCCGAACGGACTGTACAGTTTCGTCGGCGTACGACCCAGAAGCTGGCGGGAGCGGGTCTGAGGTGTTTGCATGTTGCATGGCGATTGTTGTTCCTCTAGCCTCTGACGTCTACGTGTGGAACTTCTAAATTTCTATACACAGAAACAATTTAAATATGAATTATATGCTTGAGTTCCTTTTTCTTACAAACTTGTGCATAATTATTTCATTATATATAATATTATAGTACAGACAATTTATATTGTTTTATATATTTACAAGCAAAATCTTTATATATAATTGATAATAATAAGAATATTTGATATAATTAATAATAATAACAATATGTATAATTGATAAATTATATAATTTATATAATAATAATATAATTGATAATAACAATATAATAACAAAATTAAGAATTCTTTTTTCCTAATTTGTGACATAACTTTGCGCTTCTATTTTCAATATAACTTTGATAGGTTTTTTTGCACAATCTAATGGAAAAATTTTTCTTTTTTTATTTATATTAGGCCCGGTTCCACAACTCGAGTTAATCCGAGTTAAACTGGGTCCTGATTGGTCCATTCACTACTTAAACTCGGATTAACTGGATTGTGGAACTAGGCCTTAGTCAGAATTGTTACTTTATAAGAAACAATATTCATTCAAATGTATATGTTGACAGAAGCATTTGGGTCTGTAGTAAACTACAATGACACAAGCCAAAAAACAACATTGATTTCTCATCATAATCCTTCAGCAAATCGATTTAGGCCCGGTTCCACAACTCGAATTAATCCGAGTTTAATATGTTAAACTGAGTCCTGATTGGTCCATTCACTATTTAAACACGGATTAACTGGATCGTGGGCCTTACAATCTCTTTACCTGAGATATCGTGCCGAAGGTTGTGCGTACGGAGGATATCGTCCTGGACAGCTTCTCGGCGCCGTTTCGTAAGGCTCGTCTCGAATCCGCGGACACGTTGCCGAGGCTGATGTTGTTCCAGGCCCGGTCGGTCGCTTCCTTCGTCTTCGGCGATTTCTCCTTCGCGTTGTCGCCGGGGGGGACCTTCTCGAATCGATCTTGCAAACGCTGGCGAAGGTTCCACGAGGTCCGCACCATCTCCGGCGAGTTTCGCACGGCCAGCACCTCCCGGTGAAACGTAAACGACACGCTGCGCGAGTCTGGTCGCATCCTTGTCGCCGATATTTCGATGTCGTGATGTTTAAGTCCTACTGTCGCGAGCCTGGGATTGCCTGGGGCCTCCTCCGATATACTATACGAGACTGCGCTTCGAGCCGATTGAAGGACGAGACGTAACGAAATACGGTTGTACCCGTTGCAGACCGTTGAAAACCGTTTTCGTGCGACTTTGATGACCGCCTGATACTCAGAATGACAGCTAGAGGGGAAATTCGAAAAGTTTAGTAATTTCTTTTTAAATATGGCGTAGCCAATCAGAGACTCCAATAACAACATGGCGTAACCAATGAGAGATTCGCTGCTTTCCCATTCGCGGATTCCTCTCTCTATTCTTTTTACGCTACCGCGCATGCCTCTTTACTTATTTTATACACTTGGTCAGAGAGACTTTGGCACACTTGGCGCGGTATATATTTAGACTTAAAGAAATAAACTTTGCATTTTTCTATACGAAAGACTGTCTTAAATATTAGAAAGAGAGAACGATAACGTTCGAATTTCTTCCTCTCCTTCAATTGTGCAAGAGAGAAAGAGATCCGACCGCTATCGCTCTCTCTTTCTAATAATATTTAAGACAGTCTTTTGTACAGGGATGCACAGTTTATTTCTTTAAGTCTTGGTTGCACCAATGTTATTTTAGCTTTAAGTGAAACTTAAATATATGTCGATCTTTGGTCGGTATTCATATTCCGATCTTATATTTAAAATTGTCTTAAGTCCGAGGTTGACTTAAGCCCGGGTCCACAATAGGTAATTTAAGCCCTAAGCCTTAAGAAATTGACCAATCACAGTCAAGTATGAAGAGAATATCTGACTGTGATTGGTCAATTTCTTAAGGCTTAGGGCTTAAATTACCTATTGTAGACCCGGGCTAAGACCTCATTCAACCAATCAAATAGCTGCGTAGCATTTCAAGTTCGAATTTAAAACGATCTCAAATATAAGATCGGACTATGAATACCGGCCTTTATCTTTCTTTCTATCAATTCCACCAGAGAGAAGACTGAGAGGTGTCATGGGCCGGTATTCATAGTCCGATCTTATATTTGAGATCGTCTTAAGTTCGAGCTTGAAATGCTACGCAGCTATTTGATTGGTTGAATGAGGTCTTAAGTCAACCTCCAAGCAGACTTAAAACGATCTTAAATATAAGATCGGACAATGAATATCGGCCATGGCCCGCTTTTATTTTTTTTTTTTTTTTTTTATTGAGCAAAAGGCAAGCTTTGGCGGAACGCCATACAGCTAAATACATGTAAGATATATCGTCTGTTGGTAGGCCCGCTTTTAGGTGATCCCTGAAAGCGATACGCCCTCTGTTATTCTAAAAAACGTGAACATGAACTACAAAGCCAAAGTCCACGAAAGTTCTCAGAGAGTAACATATATGTGCACAATTTCTGATTCTGTTCCGTGCTATGTAAAAAATGCCTGCAGTACACGAAATGCCTATGTACACGAAATGCCATCAGTGCTGTATAGCAAAACGCATATGTATATAAATATAAATAAATTTTTAATTTTAATTTTTTAAATAAATTTTGTGGTCCTCTCTCTCTCTCTTTCTCTCTCTTTTTCTACACATACACAAATAAACACACACACATATAATATATATATATATATATATATGTATATATAGTATAACGCTACAACTTTATTCTGAAATATCTGCGTTATGTTTAGAAATATATATATATATATATATATATATATATATATATATATTTAATTTAAAACATTACATGAAATACACGCGCTGGAATTACATATATATATTCTATGTGTACATAAATACAGATATATTATCTCTTTTCGAAAGATATGTTAACATTGAAAAATTTAAATATAATATATATTTAATTAATTGATTCATATCTATTTATGTCGTATCACAAAGTAAGAAATTAAAATTTGACTTCAATCCCGAAAAATACTGTGATCTTCCAATGTAATGTTCAAAGATAAAATAAATATCTTTCTATACATTCAATGTCATATTTATATATTTTTATTTACAAAAAAACAAAATGTCTGTTGTCAAATAAAAACCTTTTTAACCGTATTTCTATAAATCTTTTTAATTAGCAGTAAAATGATCTTTGATATTTATCAATCATTTTTTTTAATTATTTAAAAATGTAATTATTAATACATGTATAGAATTTGTTAAAATAATCACTGATTCTTCTGAAACTTTTATAATTAAGATTCGAAAAATATATGTTGCAAAATATTTTAAATATCTCTTCCTTTATATAAAATATAAAGAATTCATATGTTCAATTCTAATATAGTCAACATTATTTGTATACTTTTATTATAATTTTCTTACCAGCATAATATTTTTATTACGAAAGGGTACTTAGCTTCTCTTTCAAGCACCTTAAGATTTATCATAAATAGAAAAATTTAAGATAAATCTCAAGACACCATCCAAGTACTAAGCCCTCCCACCGCGACAAGGTATACCCCATGGGAGGGTTATATTATATATAATTTTATATATAATATAATATATACAATTGCAGCATTTAGTTTGCAATATAGTATATAAATTTAAATTTGCATAACAAGACCGTAAAACAAAATCATTGGCACGGTATTGTTTATATCGGATATTATGTTATTCATTGTTGAAATTCATTATTAAAATATAATATAATTTGAAATGTAATACAACATAATTTAACAAGTTTTTTTTTTTTTTTTTTTTTTACGTGGGGAAAATGCTCCTTATGCACACCCCGACGGGACCGCTATTTAGCGGTCCTGTCGGGGTAGTGTTGGGCTCTCCCTGCCGCCATTTTAACGGCAGGGACTACCAACTAAAAACCCCACGCGCCTTTCCTTAGTCTTCCAACGCGCAAGTCCCCGGAACCATGTGCATAAGGAGCATTATATGGAGTAGCCCTAACAAACTACTATCCTATTATGTGTTCATAATATTCAATATTATATACATTCAATATTATACATAATATACATAATATTCAATATTATATATATTCAATATTATATACATTCAATATATATTCACAAATATCTGAAAAAAATAATTTTCTTAATATCTTCGATATTAAACTTTAATAATATAAGCTGTTTAGATAAATTTATATAAATAAAATTAATGAAATACAATTAATGAAATTATATATATCTCAAAAAATATATAAATATATAAATTTTATAAAAATTATTATTTAAATTAAAATTTTAAATACATAAATACACAAACATCTATATATAAAATAAATTTTATATAAAAATTATTATTTAAACTAAAACCTTAAATGTATATATAAGTATAAGTATATAAATATATAAATTTTGTAAAAATTATTATTTAAATTAAAACCATAAATATATAAATAAATGAATATATAAATTTTCGAAAAGTTATTATTTATAAATATTATTTAAATCAAAATTTTTTTTGGAATTTTAATAATAAATCTTTTTCTATAAATTCTATTCATTCTTTAATATCTATAAATTCTATAAATTCTATTCATTCTTTAGTATCTACTCATTCTTAATTCTATTTTAAATCTTTCAATTTCTATATTTAAAAATAACTTATAAATTCATAAATATACGAAATTTATTATTCATATTACTAAAAAATAGCTTAATATATAAATTTATATTTTAAATTTTTCATATGAAATTTCGTATTACATAAAAGTACATAAATTTCGTATTACATAAGTACACAAAATTTCGCAAAAAAATTCGTATTACTATACAAATTAATGAGTGTTAACAATTTAATTTTCATCCTTATATAAATAAAATACCTATAAAAAAACACTCAAAAAATATTGATCCCTTAAAAATTCTTAATATTAATAATATAATTATAGAAATTATTATTAATTTGTTTTCCCTAATATTATTTAAACCTACATTTCCTGATTCCTAAAAAGATACATAATATAAAATCAGCTAAATTAATCACATAATAGCACTGACAATCCTCTACTTTTTGAAAGAAAAATTGAAAGGAAAAAAACCTAATGATGACCTAATAGCATGGCATAATAGAAAGGAATACCTAATGATGACCTAATAGCATAACATAATAGAAAGGAATTTGAAAGGAAAAAAACCTAATGATCACCTAATAACCCTAACAATCCTATTTCTCGATTAAGTGAAATTATTCGAGGAAAGCCTATCTCTAATCACGTATATTTTAATTATGTGCCCTGATTACATTCTCTAACCGCATGCCCTAACCGCGTGAATAAATGTCCGACACGACTTACGTACTATTGTACGTAAAGCTTTTCTTCAGGCCAGTTGAACTTACTTTTCGTTGAGCCTGGCCACTTTCTCGCTCGATCTCTAATCAGAGATCGAAAAAGGAGATAAACACTCCTTCTTTTGCCGATTAATTACCGGCAAATGAGCGTAAATATTTCACGCTCATCGTAACGATCGCTCGATTTTACGATCGTTTCTTAAATATTTGAATATAACTTTATTTTAACCCAAATAAAGCCAAATTACTACAAATTTCTATATACTATATTTTCTAATAAAATATAAAATTCATGTATGTGTATAACTTTTATGATATTACAAATTAATTAATTAATTAATCGTTTGGCTTTATTTTAAGTTAAAGTAAAATTTAAAAACAATATCTACAAACAAATTCTACAATGGATGAGCTATGATATAAGAAATTAGAATAAAATAAGTGCGCGTTATAAGAATAAAGTAGTATCAAAAATTGATACAACTGTTAAAATTATTAATGCGTGCTCTTGATTTAATAAACTAGTCAAGTCTTTACAAAAAAAAAATTCTTTTCTTGATTCTCTTTTTTAAATTAATACTTCAATATATTTTCGCAATAGATGCAAAGCATTTCGAAAGAATTTATTCAAAGTTATGTAATTTAATCTATCCTAGCTCATCCATTTTAAGGCAACGGACTTATTCTACAATTCACAATCTACAATCTACAATCTACAATCTACAATCTACAATCTACATCTACAATCTCTACGAATCCGTTACCTTAAAGTTAAATAAAAGTTTTTCTCACTCACCGGCACTGATGCGCAACAGCGGAGTTGTTGTTATCGAAGCTAGTTGTCTGTAACATACAAATATAAAATTCATTTATATTAATGCTCACAAAATGCAATCAATATTTCAAAAAATTTTTATCGCGCGGAATTTTATATCCGATGTGTAAAATAATAAGCAGAGATAAACACGTGTGGAAAATTTTTATAAAATTTTAAAACTGTTTTTTAAGAAAGTTTTTTAAAAAGTTTTATATAACTTTTATAAAAATCTTTCTCTCTAATTTTCTCTTTAATTCATTTAAATAATAAGATCGAATTATT